TTCGCTCATCGCGTTGATTTATGATCGTTACATCGGTTACATCGCAGGATCCGGCAGCCGCACTCGCGGAGGCGTTCGGCCAAGCAAGAAGAAGTGCAACGATGCATTCCTTGCACGCAGCTCCCGCCTAGATTACGTAAAAACAGATTAGAATTCACGCGAGCTGCACACAGAGTGTTCAGGAAGCGCGTAATAATGTGGCGACCGGGATATCCTTCGGATATCGGAATATATATATATATATTATATATATAAAGGAAAGATTAATATTTAAACCTTACAATTTTATGATAACAACCGAAACCGGTTAATTGCATCGGGGACCCCGATCGCAAAAAAAGCCACTGCCATTTCTAAATTCACTAAATATGCACAAAAATATTGATTACAGTGACGCCATGCGTGCAACTTTTACAAATTAGGAATTGCAATTCACAAAAATCTAATTTATAAATATTAATTATAGAATTATAAATTCTAGATCATAAATTTTAGTCGTCAGTTCGTTCTTTTCCAAAAAAAAGCTAACATATTGATGTATGATAATATATGATAATATGATGAATCGAGAAAATCTGCCTTAATAAGAATGAAAACCGCGCGCGTGTTTCCCTTCGTCGAGCTTACCGACGAGGTGCGTAAAAAACACTTGGAAAAGGTTCACTTCTCACTGACGGAGAGAATCATATCCGCATCTTCTCAAGTTGTGAAAATAACCCCGGCATTTAAACGTCCTCGCGTTGCATCGCATCCGGGCGTGTGTGTTTGCGCGACGTGGCGCTCGGAAAACGCGGAAGTCAGACGGCACAATTATCGAAAAAATGTTGCATTACACGCACCGGCGGTTTTATGTCGGAACGTAAATCCGTAGTATGAGTGCGCCGGATTAAAATAGCACTTCATCAGCGTTTTGTCATCTAACGACGCAATGCAACACGCAATATCGGGGAGCCGTGCAATTGAACGCGACACGAAAGCAAGACATTCCTGTTGCTCTCGCGGATTCGAGACGGATTTCTTCGAACTTCAATGGGCGAATTTACAAGCTCCGACGTGGCACCTTTTTGACACGTACCCGATTTAATCGCGTTTAATTTACCGCGAGTACTGTCGACCTACACACAAGCCAAGAGGGAGAAAGAGCGAGAGAAGGGAGGAGGAGAAGGAGAGAGACATGACGATCATTATTCGCTAATTAAAGCGGCTCGACGGCATTTTCTACGGGAACGCGAGAGACTCCTCGGGAGTGAGTCATCGAGAGTCTCACTTTTGTCAGCCGATCGGTCACGCTGACGATTTTCCATAAAAATTCCTAATGCATCGTCCTCAGGGACGTACGTCGCGCGACGCGACGCGGCGAACCTGGAATGAATCCCCGTCGTCGTCGCCGCGTCGGGAGGGGCTCGGAGGGGAGCTACGTCGGGGGACGATACAAAACGATTAAACCGTGCGTTCCACTTTCTCTCGGATTAATGACGCCGCCGATATACAACAAACGAGAACGGGAGAACGAGAGAACTGGTTCACCTCGCACGCCGCCGCGTGAATTTCGAGGGAGCCACCACGCCGGCTGGGAAAGCGAATAATCGACAATGCAATTGCGTTTATGTAATAAACGAGCGTCTCGCGCAGTATGCAGCTGCAATCGGCAGTTCAGTTCGATCGCGAGGAATCGGTCTGAAACGCGGCCCCCGGGCGAGTCGGGACAACTAATTCGTACGCGACACTTTACATCGTACGAGTTATTCGGAATTGAATGCAAATATTAAGTTTCATTTGGTGGCGTATATTCCAGTACAAATTCTGTTCCTTGTATTTCTATCTCTCTTTCTTTTTTTTTCTTTTTTTTTCATCTTTTTTGTTGCGATCCTACTCGTAGCTTCGTATAAAATTGGAGCCATTTTTTTTCAAAACTCGGCTCGATTTTAATTAATGATTCAAATTAATGCAAAATTTAAAATGTTTACAGTACAGTGTGTGTAACGCTCGAGACGAAAGGGTTAAGATGGGTTAAGATCAGTGGTATTAATTCATCGATTTCATTATATTAAGAATCTTATCAGGATACTTTGAGAGACTTGTGACAATTAGTCACATAAGCAGCTCTGCGAAATAGTTCCTCAAACAATACCGAATATTGAAAAATGTCAAGAATTGAAAATGTCACTAAATTTGGCTCCAATTTTATACGAAGAATTTATCAGATTTTAATTAATGACTCAAATTAGTGCAAAACGAGTGCTAAATGATCGAATAAGCGCGGGATGATCCTGCCAGTTTCAAAGAGGTGACATTTTTAACGTAACATAACACAAGTTAAACTACTGAGTTGTTTCAGATGGGAAGTGTATTTTATGTTTGTTAAACATATAATTTTAGTCAATAATATATGCGTCATTCTGTTCGACAATTTCTTGCCACCTTTTAATTCCCTTCTCGTAACTCGTAAACTCTTTTCCGGCGAAGAAACGTTGCAAGTGACTTTTCGTGTCTTCTAAAGAAGCAAAGTTTACACTTTCAAGAGAGTTCTGCTAATGAGCGAAGCAGATGATAATCGAGGAGAGGTTGGCTGCAAGGTTGAGGTGAATATGGTGGACGAGGCAAAACATCGCAGTCAAACTCTGACAATTTTTGTCGAGTCTGCAATGATACAATCATCTCTTGCAATCTCTTGCAATCAAGTCTCGCATCGTAGTGCAAGGGAGACACGACATCTGTCCGATTGTTTAATTCGAGACATTTTCTGGCAATATTTTGCATTTAGCATCTCCAATTGGGCACAATATTTGTCCGTATTAATAGTTCAGTCGTTAGATAGTAGCTCATAATTTCTTTCCAGTCTTACCAGATGGAAAGCAAAATTTTGGACGCAAACTAGGCTTACAAGTAGATAATGGAAGCTCATCTCGCTTACTCCACGATCGTTTTCGTTCAATGTTATTGTAAAGAATCCACTTCTTGCCTCCCGTCATCATTTGTCCCACAAACGGTTCGGCTTCATCGTGCCTGTACAGTGAATCGTAGATGGATATGCGATCCATTAAATTTCGTTCCGTCAAATGACGCGGCACCCAAACATCAAACTTTTTTTACCGTTCCAATTTAAGTGTTAAGTCTCGAAACGGTTGAGTGGCCAATGTTCAGCTTTACCGCGATGCCCCGAGTTATAGTATGTCGATCAGAATCGATTAAAGTGGTTATTTGCCGGACATCCATGGTTACCGGCTTACCAGAGCGAGGAGCATCTTGGACATCCACTTCTTCTGCACCAGAAAACCATTTCTGGTACATGCGTTCCTTTACGGCACTCTCTCCGCGCGCAGCACACATCTTTTTATGTATTTACGTTGCATTCTTGTCTTTACGGAGATAAAAGTCGCATTACACCGGAAAAATTCATTACTGCCGTCCATTTTCAAGTCGCAACAAAGATAACTTTTAGTACTTTCTTAAACACTATCATTTATATCACAAGATATGCATCTATCTATGCTAAGATACATTCTAAAATGTCATTTATCAAAGCGTATACAGGGTGTCCCATTTTAAATGCCCCAGGCAAACATCTCGAGAAATATGGAAGGTACGGAAAAATGTTTCAGAGAAAAATTGCATGGTTTCAAAGGGGACATAAAACAAGTACATATATCAGTTTGTTTACAGACGTCAGGCAGGCATCACTTTCGAGATATTCACTGATCGTTACTTTTCTTAAACGGAACCTCAATTTTTTATTATATTATCTTTTTCTATTAAAGTTAATTTAAACAACTTTTGTCTGAAATACTTCTTTATTAGTCTAATATTTTTTGAGATTATTATGAGTAACACTATAAAAATGGCTTCACCGACTATGATTACTTTTCACAGTTATTAGTATAATCATAAATATTAAATATTAAATTAAGTTATTAACAATAAATATTAAGTTAATTAATATTAAGTTAATACTTTTTTCTCAGTGTACGATATACGACAAAATCATTCGTTCCTCGCTTAATTTCGCAAATTTAATGACATTTTCAATTATTAACATTTTTCATTCGTCATTGTTTAAAGAATTACTTCGCAGAGCTGGTTATGTGACTAATTGTTACAAGTCAAAGTATCCTGATAAGATTCTTAATACAATGAAATCGATGAATTAATACCACTGATCCCCATCTTAACCTTTTCGTCCCGAGTGATACACATAGATACCATAAACATTTTCAATTACCGGATGGACAGGGTGTTCGGGATCTTTTGGAAACGAAAAATTGTAAAGTTTAATGAGAGATTAAACTGAGAAGAAGAGTCAAGTACATTTTGCACAAATCGCAATGCGACAATAGTTATTAAGTTATTAATGATTGAAAATGATTACATCTAGAGGCTCTTTTAATCGATAATTTGAAAATTTGCGTACTTATTTGCAAAATGGTACTTGACTCTTTTTCCTAGTTTGATTAATCTTCATAATTTTTCGTTTCCAAAAGATCCCGGACATCCTGTATATGTATACACACAATAGCCGAATTTTCAATCGGTATGCACTGAGAAAAAGGCTTCTATTGTGTCACAACAAACGAATGTTTGCTGTTTGATAATTGTACAAATCAAACGATTAACGCAATAAATCATTTTCCGTTACTTGTAATTCTAACAAATATACATTGCTGAAAATGCAATACATTTGTTCCCATCATAAAATTTGTTGGTTAGAGCAACAAATCACAAGTAACAAATCATTTGTTATTAGCACAACAAAGTGATTTGCTGTCCCACATTAACAAACCACTTGTTGCAATTACTGATCGGGTTTCGTTAACCCAACGAAACCTTCTCCTCTCAGTGTACATGTATACCAACGGCTCTATTGATAAACATATTTTTATTCCAGCAATAAAATGAAGAGAATTTGTCCTTGCCTCATCTTCGATTTGGGGAAGAAATTTATATTCAGGGACAGAAGGGTTAATAATGATTTTCATCACACACGAAACCACGGCTCGACTTACATGGCGATTATCGATCACTGCCGTATCATTTCGAAGAATCTTCTATCCGACACACCCTGTCGTCCCCTGTCGCGACAACCCCACAATTCTTCTCTCCTCTTCTTCGTTTCTCCTCTTCGCAGCCCTCAGAAAACGAACAACCGATAAAATTTTCGGCGAATAAAGTCTCACGTCGTGTTCGCTCGCGCGCATAAACCACCGAGACTTGTCATTAACGCATTAACAACGACGCGGAATGAACACCGCAGGAGGGTCGGCACTCGCGGAGGAGGAGACGCTGCACTGAGCGGCGCAGGCGGCGATTCCGCGTCGTCGCGAGCAAACCGCGTGGAGGAGACGGCAGTCGCCGATGGCTTGCATCACCGCGATTGCAACATCCGCCAACCTTGCAATGTCGTCGGCGTGTTTTTCTCTCTTTTCCGAGGCAACTCGAGCGACCGCACGACCGTCCCGCAGGGGAAGGCCGTCGCTGTCATCATCACCATCATCATCATCATCACCATCATCATCATCACCACCTGCCTCCATGCCGTAGTAGCATTCGTAAGCGCTCGCTAAGTAATTGCCGGCCGCGCGCGACGTGACGCGCGACGACACGAATCGATCTGTCGCGTTATTTTCACGCGATCAGGGTCGTGCCTGAGGATAATTTATTCCGCGGTGACGGTGAACGAGAGGCGATCGTCAGTATACGTGCGTAATGCTCAACACGCGCGCGAACGCGATCGCGGCGAACGCCGCGTCGCGTCGTCAATTCCGACGGCCGTGTGTCCTCGAGCCGACGCAATTCGGACGTGGATCGTCGATCGCCGATGATGTCTCACCGTAATTTTGTCACCAACAGGCTCGATTATAATCAGGCTTGGGAAGTAACTTGTTACTTGTAACAAAGTTACAGTTGCAGTTATTTTCTTTCGTTTTGATAACTGCAACTTAATTTTGTTCCCTTTTTCCATCTGTGTAATTTACTGCAATTTAACTTGGTTACATTCGTTTAATAATTACTGACTAATTTAATAGTCACTTTAACAGTTACTTTATATTATTTCAAACTTATTTATTTCAGTTATTTATTTCAGTTAGTTAGTAACAGAAGTTATTTGAAACTTCAAACTTGAGTTTCTGGCAAACCAGCGCGATAACGCGACGTGCGATGCTTGATATCCAATAAGCATACAGTTAGCTACATTTGGAAAACGTGCTATTGCGTTATCTATCTTTATCGTTCATTAGATGTAAAATAAGGATAAAATGATGTAATAGTGCTCATAGTCTCCTCTCCGAATGCAACCTGTATTTCTTTCAAAACAAATTATACGCCTATATATTTCAGTTATATAAAAAATTCAAGCAACGGATAAAACATCTCAATCTTCGGAGAAAGATTGTAAAATGCCCAGCATATGCCGAAATATTACAGCAAAAATTTGAAAACAAGAACAACTGGGCACTTCTCTGACCAGTTGTTATTAATAGTCTTAAAGAATAAATATGAATTGCTTATTTGAATTAATGAATCTAATTTGTAAGAATTATATACAATACGAGGAATAATCAACAAACTACTTTCATATAAAATTGAAAGAATTTACACAATTACGAAATTTAAAATATATAATAGCACAATTATTGTAAAGAAGTGACTGAAAAGTAACGACTCGTTACTTTCTAAATAATTATAACTGTAACATGTTGTTTTTGAAGGTCAGTAACTTGTAACTGTAACTAGTTACTTTTTCAATGAAAAGAACTGTAACTGTAACTAAATACTTTTACAAAGTAACTTTCCCAACACTGATTATAATAGCATGTGGCTTACTTTTAGGAAAAAAGAAACAAGAGTGAGAGAGAAACTTTACAAAACTAGATAGTAGAGATGTGCGAATCAAAAATTTTTATGTCGAATCGAATCGAAACGAATCTCATTTTTTAAATTCGAATTCGAATCAAATCGAATGAAATCGAATCGAATCATTAAAAGATTTAACATGACTATTAAACATGCGAACAATGATGGAAGATTTTAATATGAAAAGGAATATTGATGTTGCAATATCATCTTAAAGTAAAATATATATTTAAACAATTAAAGTAATTTATAATTAAGTTATTAATTATAAGTTAAGTTAATTATAAGTTAAGGGTTCAAACATACAGGCCCATTGGGGCCCATTTTGTAGCTGATGCACGCAAGCGATAATATATTTGATTCGATTCGAATTATTCGAATCGAATTACATAATTACAATCGATTCGATTCGAATTTGAATAGTTCGCACATCTCTGCTAGATAGAATTTAAAAAATGAAGAAACGAAAAGAGGAAACTGAAAATCCACCTTCTTCCTGCATCGAAGAATCAATTTCTTTATTTTTAAGAAAAATTAATTTCTTTATTTTTAAGAAAAATTAATTTCTTTATTTTTCTTAGCTTCTGAAGCTGCGCTGGATGGTCGACGGAGGATCGTCGATCGTGGCAACATCATCGTGGCGTATCGATAGCGTGCACTAGCCGAGATGTCGCAAGAGAGAGAGGAGAGAGAGAGAGAGAGAGAGAGAGCCTCGAACGTGAACTTCTCAGTTACAATTGAATCGTGACTCGGGGAACCGTACGCGCGAGTATCGTCATCGCGAATGGATGCCCCGCAGCGTCGAGTACATCATAATCGCCGAGGTCGACTGCGAACAGGAAGACGAAGAAGAAGCGCACGTGACAACTGTCGATAAAAATGTCTCGCACGCGAACGGTAACCGCAATCACTACCGTCGCCATCGTCATCGTTGTCATCATCGTCGTCGTCGTCGTCGTCGTCGTCGTCGTCGTCGTCGTCGTCGTCGTGATTCAGACGGCAGATATTCGAATGTCGAAAAGACGACCGCGGGAATCCTGAGTGCGCAACTACGACGCTTGAGACCGCGGGACTTCGCAGAAGTGGAGAGAGGAAAGTGGCGAACCCGGAATTAAAAATTCCCTCTCGCGAGCGCAACGACGATTTAAGACGTGGACAAGTCGCGTAAATCTCGCTCGCGGAGGAACCGCTCTGAAAACCGGATCCTGTGCTTTCGGGTTGCGTTTTACCTCGCCGATGAACGTTCAACGATGCAATCGATTTAATACTTCTCAGCACTCGCGCTGTCGCGAGACAAGATCGCGGAGATCCTCCTTCTTCGTTTTCCGTTTTCTTCTTATCGGTGGGAGAAATTAATTGGAGCACTGGCGAGAGACCGCCTCGTCACTCGCGTTATATCGGGCAAACGCGGACATGGTAAATTTTTAATCGCGCTCTCACAAGCCGCCAGAAACCCACTTTCATTAAGGCGAATTATTTAGTTCGTTTTAACAATACCGCTGGCAGTTCCCCAGTCGTTATATAAAAAATTCAGCTCGACATAACATCGGTATAATGCGGCAGATAAGATAGAAAGTCGTTTCAGGGCGATAAAGAAATTTGAATAAAACACCGGAATAGAGAAAGTAAGCCGTCATCGCAGTGAGTCGCAGAAAAAAAAAATAGTTTCGCGCACTGCGCATCGCGCATTGTTATAAAGAACGCTTTCGCAATTTTATTGAGACGCGATGCATCGGCGGAGGCTCACACTTTCGTGGCGTTTCGATGGTGCACAGAGTGCCACCTTCCACGCAGATTGAAAGGGAGAAAGAAGGCGACGAGAATTGAACGTCGATGACGACGGGAAATAACGATGTTGGATCAACACTCAATGTTTGTTCGTTGAATAAATCAGACGTAAAAAGTTATAGAAGTCGACTTTTTATTTGCGATGAAATAGAGTGTTAATTTGTATTAATTCTTATCTATACGGTGCGAAGTGGTTGAGTTATTGTTATACTCATTCGAAGGAGTGCTGGTGACCCCCCCAGGGGTGGACGAGTTAAACTCGTTTGTACAAAGTGCCGAGCATCCTCTTTGGAGGTGAGGTGGTTGAGTTATCAAAACTCATTCGTATAGAGTGCCGAGAATCCTCTTTAGAGGTGAGGTGCTTAAGTTATCAAAACTCATTCGTATAGAATGCCGAGGAGCAAGGTGGTTAAGACTTACTTGGATGTTGATAATCTCTCCCAAAGTGATTAAGTTGCTATACTTAATCGTACGGAGAGTCCAACGAAGAGATGGATAACGAGTTTCGCGGAAAATACTATATCGGCTTTGCGAAGACTTGCGAGACGATCTGGTGAGAGCGGAGATATACGAAAGAGCAACTCTACCGAATCTAAATACGAGACGATCTGGGTGATATACCAGAGGCGTTCACAAAAGCGACCTTACTGACCATAATCGATTAGTTTTTTTTTTCTCTAAATTACCCACAATTTTAATGTTGATTTACTTACTTAATTAGACTTAGATTAATTGAAATTTTTAAATCACTCAACAAAGGTATCCTGAAAGACAACTTAATCGTGTAAAAGTAACACGGCGCGTTACAACGAGGAAAGAAGTAATATCTCTTTACAAAGTTAAAAAGTCTGTTTCCTGACTGCGGGAAATCCATCACAACAGACAAACTTTCCTCTCTCTCTCTCTCTCTCTCTCTCTCTCTCTCTCTCTCTCTCTCTCTCTCCGGACAACTCTCGGTATTCTCAATGTCGTCTCGAATTCCGTGACTTTGCGATCTCCTGCGGTTTACTGCAAACAGTTCAGTTCTTCCGGGAGCGCCCACGTTCGCCCTTGCGAGGAATGCAATCTCCGTTCATGCATCGCAGCCAGCCGCGAAGGATCGTACATACGTACGTGCGCAGCCTCGGGACTGCGGTTTCCTCGGAGCCGCGCATTCTCCGATACAAACGCGAATGGCCGCAATCCCGGCTTAATTACGGTTACGAGACTCCACGAGGAATTCCGGACTTTCCGCCCGCGCCCGGGACGTGACGTAAGCAGCGTACGTATTTAATACAAATAATTATTAAAATAATATATTCTGTATATACAGGGTGTTTAAAGAAAAGGGTTCGGGACTTTAAGGGCAGACTCACAAAATGGAGGAAAAAAGTCCTGATAAACATGGGTCGAAAAATTAAATGTCGGAGTTATGAACAATTGCTTATTTTAATTGCAGCAAGTGACTTACTCGCATCTGATGCACGGCTATACATAAAACGCATTTCTGCCACTTTTTGATTAGAGTAATATGATGTTATTCTTACCGCACTGTGTGTGAAAACTTTGTGATAGATCTCTAGATGTGAGAAGAAAATAGATGTTTGTTTACATTTCAACCCATGTTTATTCGAAATTTTTTCCTCCATTTTGCAAGTACTATCTGCCCTTAAAGTCCTGAATGCTTTTTATAAACACCCTGTATACACTGAAATTATACACACACTAAAATAATATTTCTAAACCTATATACATTTAAGATATTGCTGTAAGATATACAAAATAAGCTACACGCTCAGAACGGGTTATAATCAAGTTTAATTATTAAAAAAGTTATAGAAGAGAAAAAGTTTAACGGTATAGAAAAGTCTACTTTCTTATGAATTTATTTTTTTTTCATAAACGCAACGATGTACCTTAAAAAATGCAAATGCATTCTCCTAAATGGAATCAGATATTTTTTTTTATATGAGTCAGTTTTTCGGATCAGCCTGCGTAAAAAAGTACTAAGGTAGAAAGTAAAACAAATCAACAATTCGTGAGATATTTTAATTTTTTGTTAAGCCATATGCTTAAAGATGTTTTCAAACGTTCCACTTTCACACAGTAAAATACTTCACAAACATAAAACATATG